ATAACGCAGGTTCTTAATAAAGCTTTCTGCAGTCCCGAATCCACATTCTTCATATAACCCAGCTTCTCTGATTATTTGTTCAACATACAGATTGAATAAATATATGAGAAGAGTCAACCCTGTCACAAACCTTTCATGACTTTCAAACCATGCCGTATTCCTTGTTCTGTTTGCACAAGTGACCCTTGAACCATCTAAAAATTCCTCAGGAACACGATGAAGTGTTTCAGAATTCCCATTCTTCCCAAACCTATCCACAGTTTTTTATGGTCCACACAGTCGACTGCCTTTGCATACTGCACAGTCAATAATACACAAGTAAACATTTTTTCTGGTATTCTCTGCTTTGATTCAAGGTCAATCTGACACCAGCAATGATATCCTTGTCCCATGCCCTCTTCTGAATCCAGGCTGTCTTTATGGCAGCTCCCTGTTAGTACACTGCTACAACTGTTGTTGGATGATCTTCAAGAAAATTTTCCTTGTATGTGTTATCAATGATATTGTTCTGTAATTTGAACATTCTGTTGGGTCACACTGTTAATTGGAATGGGTACACATATGGATCTCTTCCAGTTAGTTGGCCAAATACCTGCCTTCTAAGTTCTGGCGTAGATAGATGAGTGAGTGTTTTCAGTGCTGTTGAAACATGTCAGTGAGTAATCCATCAATTCTGGGAGCCTTGTTTGGGCGAGTGCTTTTAATGCAGCTTGAATGTCTTCCTTCTGCACTATTGGTTCTTCATAATATGCGAGGGAGGATAGTGAGACTTTATTTCACATACTTGGATATGTTATCAGTAGAGACCAGTTCCTGAAGAAGGACTTCATGCTTGGTAAAGGACAGGGTCAGCAAAAAAGAGGAAAACCCTCAACAAGCTGCTCTGATATAGTGGTTGCAACAATGGGCCCAAACGTAACAATGGTTTTGAGGAAGGAGTTGGACCCGGCAGTGTTATGTTTTGTTGTACACAGCACTGCTATGAGTTGGAGCTGACTTGAGGGTTACGTAACAACATAACAATCACTCAGTACACGTGTTCTTTCTAATTTGTAGATGAAAAGGTCAAGTTGCTATTAAAAATAATTTAATTAGGAGTTGGTAGAATGAAAGTTTTGAATTTCGGTTTTTATCGTTTAGTCTCTAATATGATGATGACTGCTATAGAAGGTGCTCCTTTCAAGCTCAAGCCGTCTAGAAGACTGTTGAGAAACTTCACTGGTAACCGTGCTCAGCACTCAGTGCCATTGTCCCAGTGCTTTTTCTGTCTGCCCGAAGGGTTGTGGTTGTAGGGTGAGCAGCCTTAGCGAGCAAGGGCAGAGGAAGAGTGTTTTTCCTGTCAATCTTTTTGTGAAAATTAAATTTCTTCTGACCTAAGCAATTTGTTCACAATTTCTCCGAGATGGACTTCACTAGGAAATTAGTTTGAGTTTTTTAATGTTGTAGCAACAGCATGTATTAAATATTCAAAGCTCGTCTTCATTCTGCTGCTTTCTGTTGCACAAAGTAGGAAATATATATATATATTTTTTAATTTATATAAATTTAAGTTGTGTTGTGAACTTGGTATTCTCTGAGCCATTTGTGTTTGCTGTAAGCTTAAAATGTGATAGGTAGGATACCATTGCCAGCTTGTCCTTTATTTTCTCTCTTAAACCTGAGAAGCACTTCAAATAATAGAGAGATGTAGTAAAATTATTCCTTTTCCAAAGGATATTGAAACCACTGCTTCATTATAGGCAAGGTATCGCATGTTTTTTGTCTCATCTAACTCTGTAATGGGGAGAGATTCTGAGTGACAATATTATCATCAAATGTTTGACTCTGACTCTCAGATCTATATCTAACTTAGTTTCCTCTTTTATTCTCCAGCTGCTTACAGGGCATCTATTTGAATATCTTTTAAGTTACCCAAACTCTGGCCAAATCTTAACTCTTTTATCT